ACACACACACACACACACACACACACACACACACACACACTCCAGCCAGACACCCGGGGCCTCACACCCAGCTTCTGATTTAAGAGGACTGGGGGTAGGGGTGTGGTCTGAAATGGAGGCAGGGGTTAGGGCTCCCCAGGTGATCTTAATGTAAAGTGTGGGCTGACAGCCAATGCTCCAAAGGCACAGGTGGGCATCTGGTGAGAACGTGAGAGGGGAGGTCCAGGAGAGAAGGCAGAGGCTGGATTGGGGGGCGCCCTCTGCTCTCTCTCCTAGGCAGCCAGGCCTGTCCTCTGGCCCCTGAGCTTAATGGGAGGCCTCTAGAGCTCAGCCTGGAGAGAGCAGCGTGCTTGCTGGCTGTCCTGTTGGTCCCGCTGTTACCACCATTAGACAGCAGGTGAAGACATGATTCTACTTCCCCCTCCCCTGCCCTGGGAGACATCCCGGATACCCATGCTGATGCTAACTCCACCCAGGTGTCACTGTTCGTGCCCGCACCTTCGCACCCTCCAAGGCCCCGTTGCCTGGGGAAGGGTGACTGAGGCATTATCAATCCCTCCCTTTTCTGCTATCAATAACCAATCAGGAAGTTGGCATGGCCTCCCTGACACCAGCTTGTCAGTCCGTGGTGATATTTCCCAAGGCTGCCCTGGCAGGCAGAGCACGGTCAGGTGTGCAGAATTGCCCCTGGGGATTCTGGAAACATTCTCCCCTTGACAGGGTACCATTACTATTATGTCTAGTTTTTGGTGCCCCCACACACACACACACTCCCTAGAATCTAAACTCCGCCGAAGTGAGGAAAGGACCATCATACTCATCTTTTGTCCCCCGGGCCTCACCCAGACCCTGGCTTACAGCACGTGCTCAATAACTGTCATGGAAATGGAAGAGATGAACGGTCCAATACCTTAACGAATATCTCCCTTAACTGTATCTGGAAAATCACACACACACACACACTCACGCAAGGCCGGCTCTCACTGACAAAAGCCTTCAGGAGGCTGGAACCCCTTGCTTTCTTTTTCAGTTGTTGCCTTAATAAATTACCATCAACCTAGAAGCTTAAGACAACACCAATTCTTTCTCTCACAGTTCTGCAGGTCAGACGTACAGGCACAGCATGGCTCACTGGGCCAAAATCAAGGTGTGGCCAGGGCCGTGTTCCTTCCTGAAGGCTCTGGGATGAATCTGTGTCCAAGCTCATCCAGGTTGTTGGCTGAACTCAGTTCTTCATGGTTGTGGGGCCTCAGCTGGGGGCCCCTCTCGGCTTCTTAAGGCCACCTGCATTACTCTGCCTGTGGCTTTCTCCCTCCTCATTCTTCAAATCTGACATCCTTCAGCCATTATCACTTCTACCTCTAGCCGAAGAACACTCTGCTTTTAAGGGCTCATCTGATTACCTTGGGCCCACTCAACTAATCCGGGAAAAGCTCTCCATTTTAAAGTCTGTAACCTTAGTTACACCTGCAAAGTCCCTTTTGCCATGTAACGTCTCATATTCACAGGTCCTAGGGATTTGGGTGTGTACATCCTTGGAGGACCATTATTCTGTCTACCACACCCCTGCTGGGAGGAGAAAGATCCCAGAACTAGGTGGACCTGAGTTTTAAGCCCAGCTCTCCTCGGTCATGTGAACCCAGGACAGGGATTACTTCACCTATATGGGCCTCAGTTTCTTCATCTGTAGAATGGGGACACACTAGCACTTACCCCCTAGGATCATGGTGAAGAGCCACTTGTATTCATTCATGCAAAGGGCTTATCAGTGTCTGGCACATAGCATTGTCATCGTTGTGAGCACAGGGGCAGGGTCCACAGGGAAGGGGAGGGGGCTGGGCCCCAGGGTCTAGGATCTGGTCTTCCACTTGGTGGACCCAGAAACTGAACCTTCTGATCACCCAGCTAGTCAGTGTTGGATCCTAGATTCCACCCTGGCCTCACAAGTTCCAAAGCCCTCCTCGTACCAGTAGGTGCTGGTCTCTGAGAGGTCCAGCTTTCATAGGCTCCATCCCTACTGCCTCTGTCAGTGGCAACTCAGGGCAGGTGTCCCTCTGAGTCACAGCCATCAGGAGGGAAAACCTTGGATTCACAGATGATGCTTTTTAGGGACTTACCCTCCTTAAGCCTTAAGGGAGGCACAACTCCCCGATGTGTGCAAAGCGTGTGCACAGACCTTGTCACATTTCCCCTTCACTGCAGCCCTGTGAGGTTGGAATAAATGATTCCCACTTCACAGATGAGGCTATCTGAGGCCCAGAGAGGATAAGGGGAGAAGGTGCAAACAAATTAGATACCGGTGAAGTTCTGGGCATCATGCATGGTGTGTTATGCACATCACCTTCACAGGAGTCCCCTCCCCAAGTTATTTTTCTTGTTTCCTGGAGGGAAAAGCAGTTCAGAGAGGGAGAGAGCTACCCAATGCTCAACAGGTTCCCTTATGAGGAGAATGTGCAGTCTTCATGATGGCAAGCTCCTCCTGGTGAGCTTGTGAACATGAGCCCTGGCTGCATGCCCACCAGTGCCAGCAAGGAGCGGCACTTCCCCACCGCCTGTCGAGTGGGAGTACAATCTTGGTGCAATTGCCACCCCCTGTGTGACCAGCCTGCAGAACAACAGCCAAGAGGCACAACCCACCACCACCACCTGCCCAGCAGAAACCAAGTCTTGGGCTCTGGTACAACCAGGGCTCTGCTAGAAAGCTTATAATTTCCCGTTACCACAGCAACATGAACGTCTCTTTTCCCCAGGATGTAAGCAGAGCTGCTCCCCATCCCACCCATCCCCCCAAGTCACTTCAAAGTCCCTTCCATTGCTGAGATTCTGTGATTCAATTATTATCACCAATGCCTGCACTGTTTCTGTCATTTTCATTTATTCCATCTGCTGTATCACTGAGACCTGCTCTGGATTAGAGTGGGTTATTCACCAGAACATTCGGCAGCTGGTTGCCATGGACACCTCATAGCCTACTTCCTTCATCACCTATTAATTCTCAGCCAGGCTGGCTGTGAGCGTGGGTACCACTGCCCCTTATCCAGGATGCAAAGGATATCAAGACACCCCCAGATCGGGAGGGGCCCTGATGACTCATGAACAAAAGCAAAATCTTCAGTTCCAGCTGCAGAAAAATAAAAAACAACCTAGAGATAGTTACATCCATCCAAACCAAGTGGAGGCAGCAATTTATCACATGGGTCAACAAAGCATACCACTTGGTTTTCTGAAACATCTTGGGCACACCTTTTAGTCTCTAACCGTGTTAAGATGTATTTTTATATTGGAAAGTGGTGAGCGTGTCATGCAGGCTCCAGTGCAGGAACCTCAAGGAATGAATGGGCCTGGGTAGGGGGTGTGCAAGAAGTTTGTGATGAGAAGTGGACCTGGGGAGATGGGGCCGGGGAGGTGGCTGCAAGCTAAATCCAGCCCAGCACAGAGGGCATAAGGACAAGAGCGGGGACCACTCAGGGATTTCAAGGTAAGAGGAAATGAAGGGGGTTCAGAGGCAGAGAGAGCGCCGTCATCAGCCCAAGGCCCATTGCTCCTGAGAACTATGACAAGTCCTGTTTGCAGAGCCTGGCACTGGGGACAGGGAATCAATACATGACTAATTCACATACTCCTTGTTCTTCAAACATCAATGTATGGTGAAATACGTTTTCTCTGAATCTAAGGTCGTTCGGTCCATCCACCTCACCTGCCCCCTAACTGTATGTAGTCCAAGAGATGAGCACTAGGTCTCTGACCCCAAGAACATGGCGAGGACACTGTCCTGACCCCAGAGAACCTGTCTCCTGTCTGACCTGGTACTCAGCTGAAGAACGGCCCCCACCCTGCTCCTGCCCCTCGTCATGAAGGTCACCTCCCTTCCCTTCTCCCACATCCGGATGACGGACTAAATGACCGGGTGGGGCCGGGGGTGATGTACCTGGCCCACCCACTTTCCTTTCACTGTGAGGAGCCTGGCCTCATGGGGGAGGAGAGCTTGGGAGGGGCCTTGAGGGCTTTATAAGTCAGGGCTGGAGCACCAAGCCCAGCAGAGAACAGAGAGGCACCAGACTGACCAGAGCATCACCGGCCTCCCAGCTCTGCAGGTGAGAGCACCCAGGAGGGGAGGGAGAGGCTGGGAAGAGGGTTGATAGGACCCTGCCCCCCATCAGGTACCAGGCTCACATCTCCTTGTCTCCAGGGTTGGGACCCTTTCCTTAGCCCAGGGATGGACTGGGTCTTGGCACTAGGACCCACCCTGGCTTCTCAACCCTTGCCTTCAAGCTGACCTGCTGCTTCACCCAGGTCCCTGCCCTAACCCTCTTACTACATGCTCACCCCGGCCCTATGAATTGAGGACAAAGGCTATTCTCCCATCTCTCAAGTGAGAATACTGAGGCCCAGAGGGAGACATGACTTACCTAAACCCATATAAATTATTGGGCAAGGCTGGGACGGGAACCCAGGGTTCCTCAAGCTCTTTCCTAGACCAGCACGGTCTGAAAGAACTTTCCACTGTGATTATAATCTAAATCTGCACTGTCCAATATGGTATCCACCAGCCACACATGCACTGTACATATAGCTAGTGCAAGGGAGGAATTTTTATCTTAATTTAAATGTAAGGAGCCATATGTGGCTAGTGGCTACCATATTGGGCAACACATGTGGCTAGTGCTGGACACAGTGAACATGCCGGAGATCTCCAAAGAAATCCCGAGTGGTCTGTAACGCAGCTGAGTGCACACATTCCTTTGGTATTGCTATTTAAAGTTCACTGTAAATTACAAGACTGAAACAAGAGATGCTCACCTGGCCTCAAATTCTGTAGAACAGTTTCGAAACCATTCCTCTAGGTTTTCGATTCCTGCGAGAAGCAGTCACTGGAATTAGGGTAGGGAAAAAGGAAAGGGGCGAGGCTTGAGGGCCAGGGGAGCAGGCAGGAACTGGAAGAACAGTCCACAAGCCCTTGCAGAATTGCAGACCTGCCGGCAGGCAGAGCCTGGAGTGTATCTGGTCCAGGCCCTGCCTCTGGGTGCCTGGACTACTCCATCTTTAAGCTCGGCCACTCTTTCCTTTGCAGACAAGATGCACAGATTGTGTGTATATGCGCTGATCTTCGCACTGGCTCTGGCCACCTTCTCTGAAGCTTCTTGGAAGCCCCACTACAAGCTGGAGGATTCACCCTCAGATCCAGGGGTCAACAGGGGCACGGAGCCACACTGGCGGGACCAGCTGGGTCCAGCCTCTCACCACCGGAGGCAGATTGGGCTCCAGGGTTCCCCACACCTGGTGGCAGGTAGGCGCTGCTGTCAGCCATCCCTGCTTGCCTCACCCAGCCAGTTTTGGCCCTGGCCTCAGTCCCAGAAGCTAGGTGTCCTTCTGCCATCCTCACCTCCTCTCCCATCTCTGACCCTCAGACCTGTCCAAGAAGCAGGGGCCATGGCTGGAGGAAGAAGAAGCAGCTTATGGATGGATGGACTTCGGCCGCCGCAGTGCTGAGGAAAGGGATCAACATCCCTAGAACCAAGCGTCAGAGCCCAGTTACCTCCCAGCCCAGCCTGGTCCCATGAAAAACCAATCAAAATAAACTAGCTTCCAACGGATCACATTGTGTCGAGTGTCATGGGGCAAGGACGGGGAGTTGGGGGCTGGGTCAAGGCAAGGGGGAGAGTTGAGCACCCCTCTGGGGGCAGGAACCATGGTTCATCCTTCTTGGTGTCCCCCCAAGAGTCCAACACTGAGCAAGAGTCTCTACATGTGGGTGGGAGACTAGGGGGTGGGGGTCGCAACCAGAGTAAGCTTTTTAAAAGAAAAATCAAATCGTGTCATTCCAACCCTCCAGTGCTTCCCATCACACTTGGCATAAAATCTAAACTCCTTGTCAAAGCTCTAGGAGCCAGTCCTCGTGGTGGGTACCACGTTTCTTCCTCCTCTCTCTTCCCTTCCCTTACGCAAACGCACCATGCTCCTCCCTGCTCAGGACATTTGTTCTTGCTGTTCCCTGTGCCTGGAATGCTTATCCCCAGGCACAAACGTAGCTGGCTCCTCTTTTTCTCCTTGGGGTCTTGATTGACATGTCTCTTCCTGAGGACCCGCCCCTTCTGCTCCTTGCCCTTCACCCACAGCCCCTATTACCCTCTAATTGCAGCATAACCTTTTCTGTGGAGCACATTGTACAACCTGTCATTGTTTTGTTTGCCGGTTTATTGTCTGCCTCAGTTAGAAGGGAAACTCTGTAAGAGGGAGGACCCTGTGTCCCTCATCCCTGCTGTGTCCCTCATCCCTGCTGTATCCCCGGTGCAAGAGCAGGAGGTACCCAATAAATATTTGTCAGATGGGCGAGTGGCTGGCAGAGGCACTTGTTGGGTGTCCCACCCACAGGCCCTCACTGTTCTTGTGCCTGTCAGCAGTGTCCTCGCACAGGCACACGTTACTCTCTACCTGAGGGCTTTCCAAGTGCGAGGCAGGCTTGAAACGCTGGGGAGTTACTGCCTCCAGAAGCATCTCTCAGTCAATGACAGATGACAGCTGGAGGGGAATTGCAGTGCAGACCCTTAGGGCTGGTACACTTTCTCTAAAAAGGCCAGATAGAAAATATTTTAGGCTTTGCAGGCCAAGAGGCAAAATCAAGGCTATTGTGTAGGTACTCCAAGAACCATTTAAGATATAACCACTTAAAATACAAAAGCCATTCTTTGCTTGCAGGCCATATGAAAAACAGACGACGGGCCAGATTTGGCTCATGGGTTATAGTTTGCTGACTCCTGTTCTAGAACAAATCATGCCACCTGCCGAAGAGTTATTTACTATTTATTTACTTATTTATTTTTTAAGATTTTATTGGGGAATTGGGGGATGGGAGCAGCGCTGGGGAATTGGGGGAAGGGGAACAGACAAGTTGCTGTCCTTTTTTCTTCAGTCTAGTTGTGGAGGACGTCACTTCACTGGCCCAAGTTGGCACCATCATTGCGCTCTTCCCAGGCGCGACACATCAGTCACCGGCTTCTGGACAGCCGCTCACTGCAGCTGCTGGCCGCTCACGCTGGCTGCTGGCTACACACGGTAGCCCATGGCAACCCACTGC